AAGGATGTGCGCCCGCGCTGGAGGACGGCGCCCGAGGGCTGGCTCGCAGCAGCGCAGCTTCCCAGATTCGTGCCGCCTGGCTCACAGATGTCAAGGGACCGAACTAAGTTTTTTCGAAAGACACGGACTAGAAACCTATCCTGTGTGTAACTCAATATGGCTTCTTGGGCGAGTAACGCCTTTTCTCCGATACTCTGTTTCGGTTACTGTAAAACAGGGATAATACGTGTCAGCCGCCCTAACTGTCAGGGCGATGAGGACCAAGTGATGCGCCGGGGCTTTGTGACCAGGACGATGCCGCGCCCTTGTGCTGCCAGGCGTCTGTGGTTCTGTCCCACAGGCCTCCCAGCCGCCAGGCACAGGCTCACTGCAGATCCTTCTGGCAATGTTGAAGCTTTAGTTCTTCTAGTGGATACCTTTATAACTTTTATGTACATTCATTTTTATCGTTTTCAATGCTCTTCTTCTTTGTCTGTTTTTTCCCATGATGTATCTAGATGTGAAGGGTTTTTAACTTAAGACTTGTATTTCATTATTATTGGCATACAGTAAAATTCAGCCATTTTAAGTGCACAGCCTGATGCGTTTTGGTGATAATATACAATTATGTTACCACCACCACCACAATTAAGAGACTGAACAGTTCTTGTACCCTAAAACATTTTTCCTGTTCATTTGCAATCCAGCTCCTCCCACACCCCAGCCCCAGGCAACTACTGATATGCCTTCTGTCTTTATAATCATGCCTTTTCTAGAGTTTCATGTAAGTGGAATCATACAGTGCACAGTCTTTTGTGTGTAATTCTTTCTCTTGTAATGTTTTGAGATTCCTCCATGTGTCCTCCGTTTTTGGAGCTGAGTAGTATTCTCTAGTACAATTTTGTTGTCTGTTCACCAGTTGATGGACATTGGACCTGCTTTCGGTTTTTTTTATTATTTATGAATAGCACTACTAAGACCATTCACATACAAGTCTCTGGATGAACATAAGTTTTCATTTCCCTTGGATAAATACCTAGGGATAGGATTGCTGCTTGTATGATAAGAATATACGTAACTTTACAGGATACTACCATACTGTTTTTAAAGTGTCTGCACCATTTTTCATTCCCACCAACAGTATATGAGATTCCCAGTGGCTCCATATCCCTGCCAACACCTGAGATGTCAGTCTTTTTAATTTTAGTCATTCTAGTAGGTATGTATTGATATCTTATTGTGGTTTTAATTTTCATTTCTCTGTTGATTACTGATTTTGAACATTTTTCTTGAGCGTTTGTACTTTTTGGACGTTCATATATATTTGGTGAAGATAGCCCATAAAGTATCATTCAGGCATTTATTGAATCACTGCTATGTGCTGAGAACCATCTGGGCTCTGGGGATTTCATGTAGGACTACGTACCTGCTAGAAGGCAACCACCCCAGCATCCACTGCTGTTCAGTGCTCCTGGGACCATCACTCTCTCTGCTGCTAACTGCATCTGAGACCATGTGAGCATTGGGTACCTAGCCAGAGGCCAGGTGAACAGCCAGGGCCACCTCCTTTCAGCAGTGTCAACCTCACTTCTTTCTGCACTCTGCCATGCAGGTGGGCTGGCTGTGAGAGACTTTACTGAGAGGCTGGGAGAAGTCTGGAGGTGACAATCAATGAGGGAAGGAATCTGACAACACTCCCTGTATAGACCTATTCCATGGTCCTTGGGGAAAAAAGCCCCCAGAAACTTGTACCCTAAGAGAGATCCCCTCCTGAGTGGGCCTCAGTTAGTAACCCTGCTTCCGAGCATCCAGGTCCACCCCTCAGCCAGCGCACCTCCATCTTCTGACCACTGACTTATCAAATCTTCCTTTCTGGAAATCCCACTCTCTACACATGGGAGCTTTCGTCTTCCCATCCATCCCCTTTTTCTCCCAGAATCTGGGTTCTCCTGTCCAGATTCACAACCCAGGACCTTGGCAGGACAGCCCACTGTGGCCTTCGGCACTTTGGTCCCTTGGAACAGTCCAGGGTGATGGTGGACACTGTGAAACAGGCTCCTTCCAGGGCTCCCAGGCTCCTGTTACTCTCCTGGTCACCCCTACACTTATCTTTATCACCCACATATCCTGCTTCCCAAAAATAAACATTAATTCTTAAACAGTTCATCAAACTCCAAAAAGAAGATTTAAATCGTTTCCCAGCTGCCTTGTTGTTTCTGAGCGTCCCCACCTACGCTGAAAGTA